GCCCCTCCTCCAGCTTGACGGATTTTTCTCTTGACCTTGTTAACCCCCTAGCTATTGTCTCACTGCTTTACTTCTTTGCCCTGTCAAATATCTTACATAAGTGGTCTGGGGCCAGTGGTCAGGTTCCTCTCCACTGGTTCCCTCCTTGGGCCCCGTAATCTGGCTTGCATCCCAACCGTGCCAACAGCATTGCTCCCTAAAGGGGAATTTACCCTTTCTCCTTCCTTGACCTCCCATTGTGAAAAACGGTAAGCAACTCCCTTAGGAAACTTTCTCCCTTCTTGGCCCATAGGATATTTGGTGTCACGTTAAGTTTGGGGTTTTCAAAAAGAGCCTTATAAAGGCTAATTATTTCCTAGTAGGAATCAAGTTTGCAATTAGAGTAAATGCTATGAAATGACCCACTATGACAAGTACTTGGACAAACCTGCTAGGACTTGCTGAGATACGGATAGCTTCTTATGAAAATATTTAGTCATTATGCTCTTCCTGTTTGTATTTATATGATTCTATTTATATTAAAAATGCTTAATTTGGAAAATCATCTAAGTACCCTTTTCCACTGAATTTTAGTTTTATCGACCACAGCTTAATCAAGTATTTTAGGATAACCAAATGTCCCAGTGTGCCCAAGCCTGAGGGGGTTTCCCAGGGTAGGAGACATTCTACACCTAAATCCAAGGCAATCCTAAGAAGCCAGCACAATTAATTAACTTACTTGGTCTTTCAAAAGAGCCCTTTTTCTTGCTTTCTTTTTACCTTTCAGGAGTTCAAAAAGTACAGCTTCCCAGAAATGCAGCATTTTCCTTGCTTCAGCTGCTTTAGATTTTCAAAATAGTTCTGATTTACTTAGTAAATAAATGCTTATTGACTTATCAGCGAGGACAGTCATGAGCTTGAGGTTCTAACTAACTTTGGAAACTACCTGTCTAGTCTTGAAAGGTAATTTGGCTATCCCTTAAGCCTTCAGCGCAAATGAGACCTAGAGAAGTGGGTTACAGCATTTACTTAGTTCTCTCCCTGAAGTCTGGAGAGGCCGGTATATGCTGCCTTTATCATGAAAAGAGGGAAGGGCTTCCCACATTCTCCGTTCTTATAATTTTAGATCCAGCTAATGTTTGGCTTTAAAAAACCAATAACAGCAAAAATGCTCCTTTGTGCCTGGATAAAGGTAAGTAAGAGAAAAATCTCACCTCCACGATTTTAATCAAGCCATATTCTTCTTCGCTTGATTTTGTTGGAGATAGAAGTGGAGGAAATCAAGGGAAGAACAGAAAGAGGCAAAGTAGGTTTTAGGCTTGTCCTGAAGAAGAGGATTAGAAATAAACCTTGAGGGGCGCCTGGGTGGCTCAGATGGTTAAGCGTCTGCCTTCGGCTCAGGTCATGATCCCAGGATCCTGGGATCAAGCCCCACATCGGGCTCCCTGCTCAGTGGGGAGCCTGCTTCTCCCCCTCCCTCTACTTCTCCCCCTGCTCATGTTCTCTCTCTCTCTGTATCTCTGTGTCTCGAATGAATAAGTAAAAGAAAGAAAGAAAGAAAGAAAGAAAGAAAGAAAGAAAGAAAGAAAGAAAGAAAGAAACCTTGAGAATTGACATAGGAGAGTTTAGCCACAAAGGATCTTGGAAGTCATGCCATCTCTTTGCTACGGGGCATGACTAACCAAGATATCAAAGAATAATCACCCGTATCAGTAGCTAATGTGTATTAAAGGTTGTCTATGTGCTCAGGCACTGTGCCATAAGCTTTTCATGCAGGCTCTCATTTGATCTTCACAATAGCCTTGAACGGTGGGTTCCATTTTTCTCCTCGTTTTACAGATGGAGAAAAATGAAGACAGAACTATTGAGTGGTGCAATCCAGACTCCAAGGAAGGCAGAGTCCAAAACTCATGTTTTAATCACTGTGCTATTTCTTGGGAGGGGAATGGGTCTTGTTCACTGTCAGCAGACTGTGTATTTTAAGCTATAGAGAAGTGGTACCAGCTGGAGAAATTGAACTTTGCTCTTACAATATTGAAGAATGTCATATTGGAATACCGAATGCTTGAAACAAACAGTATCTCCAAACTACAAGAAATGGGTTTAACATCTGTTGTTAAATGTTACAGCAGGAAACAGAATTTCTCTGCCATTTGTAGGTAAGTTGTGTTTGATTTGTTTGTCTATTTGGAGAGAAAGGATTTAATACAAGTGTCCATAAAAACCTATACTTCAAATAGAAGGCATTTCAGAGTCTGTCTTTTGGGAAGAACATTAAGCAAAAAAAAAAAAAAAAAGTAAAAAAATGAAATTGTCAAGCTAAGATTAGGTACAAAGAATCTGACATCCTTTGTCTTTTGTTTAGGGGGAAAAAACCCCCCAAAATTGAAGTTTTCCTTATCCACTTTAGACTCACCATCTGATCTGAATGCAAGCCAGTTTATATCAGCATTGGCTAAGAAGGCTGAGTGGTCACTTAACTACCAACAGAGCATAAAAAATGTGTTCAAGACCCTGACTCTCCCAGAGAGCAAAGGCAAAATTGTACCAATATGTCTGTTGTTTTTTCTTTCCCCTGCACTACAGAAAACAAATTTATCTTGGAATGGGCAGCATTCAATTTAACATTGGCTCTCTTTGTGTTTCCAGGTCAAGCGGGAACACATATGCTCCCTACTGAGGAAAATAAACTGCAATGTATTTTTAGCATCCGTTGGAAGTACTTTCAGCTGAAGAGATTCTGCAGGATCCAGACAATTTCACTGAAGGCCAAAGGATTGGCCACAATGTCACCTAGAAGTCTAGAACTTGCCCTGGGGGTCTGTAAGTAGCAGTGCCTCTGAACCCCTCACCCCACCCCCCATCATTCTCAATGCCAATCCTGTTGCAAACATCCTCTTTCAGAGAAAAAGAAGGAAAATCATTCCAGAAAAAGATAAATGGAAAACATCTGTGAAATAGTCATGACAAATGGTGCTTAACTATAGCACACTTGGCCCTTTGAGATGAAGCATGTCCAGGAGGAGGGAATAGGGAGCATGTGGAGCAGAGAGGATGTCCCCCACCCCTTTTGTGCCTAATGCTGAAGGTTAGCCATGAACAGGGAGCTGCTATATGGTGCATCTTTGTGAAAGGTGCCTCTGGGTGCCTTTGTGAATGGTAGAACAAGGCAGCACTCCCGCAGACCTAGCAGCTCCCTGGCGTGCTGAGTGACAGATGGTTTCAGCTTCTGGGCCCTCCCTCCAAGGGTGGTGCGTGCAGCCTTGGCAGTGGCGTTTCAGTTACTAGGCTGAAATGCAAGAAGTTTCCTCATGGGATTTGGCAACAGTGAGACAAATGGTTTGAGACTTTGCCTCTGTCTGCATAGTTTTGAAAAATACTTTTCATTTTTTTTAATTTTATTATGTTATGTTAGTCACCATACAATACATCATCGATTTTTGATGTGGTGATCCACGATCCATTATTTTCGAATATTTTTCATTTTTAAAAGCAAATTTAATTGGGGCATCTGGGTGGCTCAGTCGGTTAAGCATCTGCGTTCAGCTCAGGTCATGATCCCAGGGTCCTGGGATCGAGCCCCTGCTTGGCAAGAGCCTGCTTCTCCCTCTCTCCCCATTCATGCTCTCTTCTTGCTATCTCTGTCTCTCTCTTTCTCAAATAAATAAATAAATAAATAAAATATTAAAATAAATAAAAGCAAATTTAGTTAACTGCTAGCTTTTCAATAAATGACATGGAAATATTGCATCCTCCTTGTGAAACATTCTATTTCTAAAATAAATACAGTCCACGGTGACATCTACAATGACACAGTAGAATACGTATCATAAAGTACAGCATACCATCAAAAATGGGAAGTCTTCCCAAAGAACTATAGTTCTGATTATTATTATAATAAAGCCATGTGTTTATTAAAAAACAGGGAAGCCAAAGTTATCATTTATGTTCTTCCTGAAATTTTATTACTCCTGTAGCAAAAAGGAGTTTCTGTTTCCTCTTCCAAAATACAGAACAATAAAACCCGATTCCCTACCTACCCTACCTCATCCTATGAAATGGTGAAATGTCTTGGAATAATGCTATGTAAATATAAGGAACTATGGTGTGTTGAAATATAAGCAGTTGGTCATGGCTTCGTTATTCACCCAACAAATATTTCCATAAGGCTCTGTGCAGGGTGCCTGAATACAAGATAACCTAAGAAGACTTCTGTCTCTCTTGTCTTCATCAAGGTGGACAAATAAAGTATTGTCTACTGTTGATTAAGACAGTCTTCAAAAGTGTGGTCCTCTGAGAAGTTAAAAAGCTAGTGTCCTTTTCAAAACTCTCAGAGCATATTTGAGGGAAGTCTAGAGGACTCCTAAGTTTTGTTCCTTTGTTCCCAAACTGCAGTGGCTCTTCAGATGTTAAAGAATAATTTGAGGAAGCTTTTCCCTTCCTCTGTAAGATAATACTGTTCCATGGTCTTTGTGGTTCTTGAGTACAATTATATTGACATTTAATTTACATTTTCAAAACTAAGAGTATGAAGTTCATGTGTCAGGAGTTTGGGTTTTGTTCTAGTACAGAATATTAAATTTATTATTCTTTTTTTTACATTGGCTTTCTAAAATAAGCCTTTTAAAAACAAGTTTAACGTGATGTACAAATTAAATAAAAATATGCTTCAAGATTAACTAGAAAAATTAGAGGAGCTTTATCATAGGAGTTTAAGTTTGTAAGGGAGGAAAAATAATTTTCCCTATAATATTTTGAGTTTTTGGCTGAGGTCTCTAATAAAAGACAGACTGACAGGAGAAAAACTAACAGAAGTTTATTAATGTATATATATAAATGGGAGATACCCAGGGGAAAACGAGTAACTCAAAAGGGTGGCTTAGAACTATGGCTTATAAAGCATCTTCAGCTGAAGACAAAGAAAGAGGTGGGGGAAGGCCAGTGAGGGGCAGCGGGATTGATAATGCACATTTAAATCAGCGCTTTCTCTATTGATGAGGGTCTAAAGTTGTCCTCAGGGATTAACCTTTATCCTGCCTGGTAGAGAGGGATACCTTTGTAAATATATGTCTTGCTTTTTAGGCAAATGGGGGAAGATACAAGCTTTTCTTGTATCTGCTTCTCAGTTGCCTTCAGCTCAAAATAATTCTTGTGCTGAAGTGGCATATTCTGCTCCCCTTCAGGACTGAGAGTAAGAAAGTCAGTCTTTTTATGGGCCCAGATGTTAAACTGGAAACCATGAGCAGCTATCCCTAGACTATCGGAGGGACTCGGGAGGAGAAGAAAGCCAGTCCACCAAGAAAGAAAAAGGCTGATGTGAAACGATAGCAGATATAAGAGAGAACATAAAATTTCTTGAATTTCCAACATTTTGGTTTCTTGCCTGGTATTCATGAGTCTTAGCTACATTCCCTGCCCTAAAGGCTTATAATAAATCCCCTGCTTTTGCTAGAGCACCTTCAATTGGTTTCTCTTTGAAACCAACAGAATCTTAGCCTAGAAATTTGTATCTGGAAGTGAGTTGGCAAGTTACAGACCACTGAAGGAAATAGTCATGTCAAAGCAGAAGGGGTGAGAAGTGAATAGTCCTGGAAACAAAGGAGAATATGTTAAAGTGTGTTCAGTTCTTGCAGCCTTTCAAGGAAGTGCTATGAGAGCAAGAAGGAGATAGGCTTTGGGCCAGGGCTGCTGGAGAAAAGCAGAGTAAGAATACAGTTGTGAACCAGAAGGCCTTCTGACTGTAGCCAGCCATCTCAGACTGCTCAGTCAGTCTGAACAGCATTTACAAAGACAACGTATGGATCAGTACAACCGGATTCTGGGTTAGGACTGCTTTTGAAACTAAAATTGGGGGGCGCCTGGGTGGCTCAGTCATTAAGTGTCTGCCTTCGGCTCGGGTCATGGTCCCAGGGTCCTGGGATCGAGCCCCGCATCAGGCTCCCTGCTCAGTGGGAAGGCTGCTTCTCTCCCTCTCCCACTCCCCCTGCTTGTGTTCCCTCTCTCGCTGTGTCTCTCTCTGTCAAATAAATAAATAAATATTTTTAAAAATAATAAATAAACAGATGATAAAAAGAATTAATTTCATGTTATATGGATTTTGATTAAGGAAAAAAAA